CTTTAGGTCTAATAGAGTTTGTTTTATAAATCCGGCTGCTCCAACATTGGGTGCGTATATATTTATGATTATGTCTTCTTGATGGATCAATCCTTTTATCATTACATAGTGTCCCTCATTGTCTCTTTTTATGGTTTTTAGTTTAAAGTGTATTTTATCAGATATAAGAATAGCTACTCTAGCTCATTTTTCTTTTCTGTTTGCATGGTAAATCTTTTTCCATCCTTTCACTCTTAGTCCATGTGAGTCTTTATGGGTGAGGTGGGTCTCTTGAAGGCACAATATAGTTGGGTCCACCTTTTTAATCCAATCAGCCAGTCTATCTTTTGATTGGGGAATTTAAGCCTTTTACATTAAGAGATGTTATTGAAAAGTGTTGATTTAGGGGCCGGCCTGGTGGCGCACTGCTGTAGTGCGCCGCTTGGGAAGCGCGGCGGCGCTCCCGCCGAGGGTTCGGATCCCACATACAGACCGGTTCCCGCTCACTGGCTGAGCGAGGCGCGGGAGCAACACCGAGGGTTGCGATCCTGTTGCCGGTCCCGGTCCGGTACGGGGGCGACACTGAGCGTTGCGATCCGTGGCCGGACACAGAAAAAGATGAAAAAAAAAAAAAAAGGAAAAGTCTTGATTTATTCCTAGCATTTTATTGATTATTGTTTAGATGTCTTAGGTGTCTTTTTTTCCTTGCTTTGTGATTTACTCTTTGTTTTCTGTATTTGTTGATTCCCTGGGTTGTAGATAGCCCTTTTTGTTTGTTTTCTCTTCATGAATGTCATTTTTACTATACTAGTGGGTTTAGATTTTTCTTGGGTTTTTATGGCAGTGGTGGTTATTTTTCAGGAACCAAACCCATTACTCCGTTGAGAATTTCTTGTGAGGGTGGTCATGTGGTGGTGAACTCCCGCAGTTTTTGTTTGTCTGAGAAATATACTATTTGCCTTTCATTTTGGAAGGATGGCCTTGCAGGGTAGAGTATTCTTGGCTGGCAATCTCTGTCTTTTAGTACTTTGAATATATCATCCCATTCGTTTCTGGCTTTTCAGGTTTGTGATGAAAAGTCTGATGTTAGTCTGACTGGGGCTCTCTTATAGGTGATTTGATGCTTCTCTCTTGCAGCTTTTAAGATTCTCCCTTTTTTGGGGCCGGCCCGGTGGTGTACTGGAGAGTGCGCTGCTTGGGTGCATGGCGGCTCTCCCGCCGAGGGTTCGGATCCCACGTGGAGACCAGTTCCTGCTCACTGGCTGAACGTGGTGCGGGCACAACACCGAGGGTTGCGATCCCATTGCCCGTCCCCGGTACGCCCGCGACACCGAGGGTTGTGATCCTGTTACCGGTCAGTAAAAAAGACAAAAAGGAAAAAAAAAGATTCTCTCTTTTTCTTTGAGTTTTGCCAATTTGACTATAACATGTCTTGGAGAAGACCTTTTTGGGTTGAATACGTTTGGAGATCTTTGAGCTTCCTGGATCTGAAGATCTGTGATTTTTCCTATACGTGGGAAGTTTTCTGCCACGATTTTGTTGAATATGTTTTCAATGCAATCTCCTTTTTCCTCCCCTTCTGGAATACCCATGACTCGGATATTTGAGCGCTTAAGGTTGTCTGATATCTCTCTCAGATTTTCTTCAATGCTTTTGATTCTTTTTTCTTTTTCTTTTTTTTTCTGCTTGTGTTATTTCAAACAGCCCATCTTCAAGTTCCGAGGTTCTCTCTTCAACTTCCGCAAGCCTGCTGGTTAAACTCTCTGTTGTGTTTTTTATTTCGCTGAATAATTTCTTCAGTTCGCCAAGTTCTGCTACATTTTTTTTCAGGGCATTGATTTCCTTGTACATATCTTCTTTCAGGTTCTGTATACTTTTCCTCATTTCATCATGATGTCTAGCTGAGTTTTCTTGTATCTCATTCAGTTTCCTTAGAATTATCACTAGAATTTCCTTGTCAGACATTTCAAGGGCTTCTTGTTCTATAGGATCTAGAGCTTCAGAGTTATTACCCTTGGTGGTGTACTTTCTTGATTTTTCGTATTTCCAGTATCTTTTCTTTGATGTTTATTCATTGTGGCAGGGGGTTTCACAGTCCACAGGTTTGATAGTATTGTCTGACTAAGATGACTAAGATGTTGCTGGGGTTGCCAGTTTGGTATGGCTACCTCAGTGACTGCTCAGTTGGCCGCTAGTGCCTTGTGTGTGTGGTTGTGTCTTGGGCCTCTCTGGGGAGCCTCCTCTGTGGTTGGTTTGGACTCGGCTGTGCTGCTGGGTCATGGGGCGGTTCTGCAGGGTGTGTTGTCTCTGCTGAGCTTCCACCTCCCGTGCTGGATGTCTCCCTGTTCTGCGTGCACTGGGCTGGGCTGCTGGGATGCGCAGAGGTACCGCGGAGCATGTGGTCTCTGCGGAGCTTTCCCTTCCCGTGCTGGATGTCTCCCTGCTCCGTGTGCACTGGGCCGGGCTTGGGATGGAGCCGGGTGGCAGCGGTGAAGCCTACCTGCTGCTGGATTGCACAGCGGCAGTCCCCCCACAGGTTGTGTGGTCTCTACGGAGCTTCTGCCGCCCCTGCTGGATGTCTCTCTGCTCCATATGCACTGGGCCGGGCTGCTGGATCGCACGTGGCGGCGGTGTGGTCTCTACAGAACTTCTGCCTCCCCTGCTGGATGTCTCCCCGCTCTGCGTGCTCTGGGCCAGGCTATTGGATCGCAGGACAGTGGTGTGGTCCGCGTGGAGTTCCTGCCTCCCCTGCCAGACGTCACCCTGCTCCATGTGCACTAGGCCAGGCTGGGAATGGAGCTGGGTGCCTGCGGTGAAGTCTACCTGCTGGATCATGCAGTGGCGGCTCCACAGGGTGTGTGGTTTCTGCGGAGCCTCTGACTCCCCTGCTGGACATCTCCCCACTCTGTGCACACTGGGCTGGGCTGGGAATGGAGCCAGGTGGCGACGGTGAAGTCTATCTGCTGGATTGTGTGACAGCGGCCCTACAGGGCATGTGGTCTCCGCAGAGCTTCTGCTTCCTCTGGTGGACATCTCCCCATTCTGTATGCACTTGATGTTATGTTTTTATAGTTGTAAATCAGTTGATTTGTGAGAGAGAGTGACGCTAGGGACCGTCTATTCCGCCATCTTGACCAGAAGTCTGATACTGCATTTCAATGTTCTATTTTCCTGTTTAGAGTCCTGTTTAGTTTATGGATAGTGGGCTTCTTAGGGAAGGTCTCAGCACAGCAAAACAGATTCTGGGATAGCTGCGTCTGGCATGGGCCTCAGGCTGCTTCTACTCATGGCGGAAAAGTGGCAGGCAGCTGGTGGGTACAAGCAGATCACATGGCAGGAGGAAGCAAGAGAAAGAATACAAAGATATTTATATACTGTTGTTTGAAAGCCTGGAGGGCCTATAATTCCACTCTATTAAGGACAATTGAAAACTGAAGAGAGACAAATTGTTCTGTCAAGTCACTTCTGTAGTATCATACTCTCAAGTCTACACCCCTTTTTTTAAATCTTCACATGCTTATTATCTAGTCAAACTAGAGAGTGGGAAGCGGATTGGATGTGGTTGAGGTACTCTTTTCTTGTGAAGCTCGGATTTTAATATTATTGTTAATTTTGGTGGCCCTATCATTCTTATCTTGCAAGATTACAAAATATATTATCTCTGTTTTTTCTCTTTATTATAGTTAATTGGCTTTTATGCAAAGATAATTACCATTTAGTGCTATTTGCTTAACACAGAAATATCTTTTTCTCCCTTCCATTAGCTCCAACCACCGTGAATGTAACACATCGTCCAGTAACTCAGGTGACCACAAGACTCCCTGTACCGAGAGCTCCTGCAAACCACCAAGTGGTTTATACAACTCTCCCAGCACCACCAGCTCAGGCTCCTCTTCGAGGAACTGTTATGCAGGCTCCTGCTGTTCGGCAGGTTAATCCCCAAAATAGTAAGAGGTTCTTTTCTTGTATATGGCCCAAGTATGTAGCTTTCTTCAGCATTTAGTTGAAGTGGCTTATATTGTAAAAAGTGCTTGTACGTATTAAAATTATTATAAGTTCTGGAGATCTATTGTACAAAGTGATGACTGTAGTGTAGTTAATAACAAAGAACTGTATACTTGAAAATTGCTGATAGAGTAGCTTTTGTGTTCTCAACTCTCCAAAATAAGTGCGGTAATACATATGTTAATTAGCTTGATTTAGCCATTCCATAATGTATACATATTTCAAAACATAATATTGCACACCGTAAATATGTACAATTCTTATTTGTCAAATAGACAATATTGACAAGAAATGACAATAGAACCAAAAACACCCACCTAATATTAATTCATTTTTCTTCCCTTGGGAGAGTTAACCAGAGAAAATCAGACATGTGTACTATATGATTTGTTGTCTTTGTACTGTCTTCAATTTAACTTAAATTATTTATGGCTATACTATCACAGTATGCCATTTGATGTTGGTCTGTACTCCACTCTATTGAGACACCTTGCCTAATTAAAGTGGGAATGATCAATTGTGACTTAGCCCAGATAATTGAAGTCATGGTAAAAGCCTCCAATGAGAGAGAATCTTAAAGGTATTAAAGATGGCTGAGAAATAAAAGAAGGGAAAATGTTAAAGAAAACTTGAAGTTTCCTAATGTATTATATATTAGTTATATACGTTACTTATGTATATAATATGTAATAATTATTATAGTTATTGTATATTAACATATTCAAATGTCTACATATTATTAGTAGAATATATCCTATAAACTCAAGTTTACATAAAAGATATGTTTAAAGTTTAAAGAAAAATAATAAAATGAGCCACATATGAACTCTCTACTAGGTTAAGAAATAAAACTTTATCAGTATCCTACAAGCCCTCCTGTATGCCCTTCCTTAATTGCATCCCTCTCCCTTTCCATCACAGGTAACTAACATCCTTACTTTTCTGTTAGACATTCTGCTTTTCTGTGTGGTTTTGCCACCAGTATAGGTGTCACTAAAATAATGGATATTATTTAGGTTTGCAAAAATTAATAGCAAGGACAAATCTAGCTGTTTAAAGAACCTGCAATAATGCTAATAATAATCTAATAATATTATTAGATGATAGCTTCTAGGAGAAAATAAACCTCTGGATCATAGTCTGGCTTCAACTTTCTCAACTTTACAAAAGATTTCTTTGGGAAAATCAATCAACAGAGTCATGAATGAGTTCTGAGAAACTAACTAGCCTCACCACAGCCAGGGCACCTGTCAGAATTATATGTGGGCCAGGTATTGAATATATGAGCAGGAATATGGTAGGGGCAGTAGATGGCTTTAAATTTTCTGCTTCTGTTGCCCTGGTGTACGTTGCAACAATTTTCTTTGGGGTGAAATGACTGTCCGCAGCTGATTAGCCAGGGCATGGATGGAAAGAGGGGACTATTAATATAAGGCAAGGATGACTTAAGTTGAACTTTCTGTCCTGTTTGAAAGGCTGAGGCAGGAAGGATCTTTATGAAGACAGTTTCAATTTATCTATCTTTTGAGTCACTGTGTTCCATTCCGGCCTGTTGGCCTTCTACCTGTGGTGCATAAGCAGTGTTCTAGGATTTTTGTTCATTGTCTTCCTGTGGGGGATCCATTTACTTCTCTCTGTGCTGGATCTCTTGTTCTTTATATTTCATGTGTTTCTCTCTCTCTTCATTTTCTCTCTCATGTTAGTGGGACACATCGCCAGTGACTACCTGAGAAAAGGTTCTTGGAAATTAGATTTTTTTTTTTTTTTTTAATGTTTGCGTATATAAGAATTTCTTTCTCCTCATGCTCAAATGATAGTTTGGCTGAGTATAGAGTTTTGAGTTGGAAATATTTTTTCTTTTGAATTTTGAAAACATTGCTTCACTAATTTTAAGTGTTTAATCAGTGTTCCACTAGATTTACAGTAGAATACTGACTTTATTCCTTAATATTTTTTTGTAGGTGTTACAGTTCGAGTGCCTCAAACAACCACATATGTTGTAAACAATGGACTAACCCTAGGATCAACAGGACCTCAGCTCACAGTGCATCACCGACCACCACAAGTGCATACTGTAAGTGTTGATGCTGGGCTTTACAAAATTCTCAACTATGAAACTGTCAAATAACTACAACTATTATTATAGTTAGCATTTTTCTTTAAAGTAGTTATATCAAAGGGAAATGATAGGGTTTTGCTTTTCTAGAAGAAGTTTATTGAAGAAAATTGATCTTACCATTATGAACGAATGTTACTAAGGATGCTGATCGTTGAAAATCATTGTTTGCTTGTGGTGTACAGTGTATAAAAACAGGTCCACAGCTGGGGGCATGTGAAGTGAAATAGACCATTTCTAAATCATGATTTAAAAAGGTATTTTTGTTTTTCCATGTTCTAACTTTATTATTTTCCTCAAAACTTTATGCCGGTTCTAACTGCTACCTTGTCATCAATTATTGTTTTAAATAATCCAATGGTATTGGAAATTCATCTGTGAAGAGATAACAGAGAAAACCAAAGTTTTCTCTTTAGCCTCCAAAACAGTGTCACATTATCCTGTGATGTGATTATGACAGTGTTCAGTATGGAATATCTCGTAAGTGGAAATGCTGGCTTTATGAGAGTAGTGGGGGAATGAGCTTATCACTTTTTACTTAGCAAAATATCCTTTTTAAAAAACTCATAATAATGGATAGCATTTATGGAGTGCTTATCATGTACCAAGTACTGTTAATATACTTTATTCTCACACAGGAGTCCTTTAGTTCTTTTTTATCCTTTATTATAGATATGGCAGCTAATGCCCAGAGAGGTCAAGTAACCACCCCAAGGTGATACCACCCAAGAACCCATGCTTTTCAACTGTAGAGCCCATGCTCGTAATGTCTATTATCTGTTTCACTGCAATGAAAAAGTTAATATCATAAATAGAACACTTACTATAGCACTCCTACTATACCAGGCATATCTTATTAAGTACTTTACATTTATTTTTTTATTTAATCCTCACAACTCTGTAAGGGTTAGAGTTCTATTCACCTTTTGATAGAAAAGAATACTGTGTCACAAAAATGTTAAATGATTGAGTACCATTACCCAGTCCAGTGTCAGAGTCAGAGCCTTATAAAAAGTAAGGTTGTCTGATCTCAGCACATCCAGAGTGTCTTTACAATGCTTCAGATATGGCTCTGTTAAGGTATGTGGCAAATATGCCATTACCGTTGTTTGCAGCTACAAATGAATTCCTTCATTCCATATTCCTTCAAAAAATAGATAACAAAAATCTCTTATTTATAGCATGCTTTTGCATATTTTATAACCCATCAGAGCTTTTTTAAAATTTTTTATTTTAAAACAGAATTACATGTATATTGTCTTAGAATAAGCTATATCCCAGAGGAGAAATATTCTTTTTTCTACTTTTATTTTAATGCAATTTTAAAGAACTTTTAAAATGGAAATTTCCAAACATGTATGAAAGAAAGAATAGTGTAACAACCCCCACATCCCCATCACCCAGTTTTAACAGTTATTAACACAAGGCTTAATTTCATCTATATTGCCACCCACCTATTCCCACAACCCATGCATACCCTTGATTATTTTTATAAGCAAATTACTGATGTCGTATTATTTCATGTGTAAAACTTCAATAAAAACCTTCATTGCAATGGCAAAAACAAAACAAAAACTCATTTGACTTAACTAGTTCTGGAGTACAAGCAGATTCAATATCCTGAAATTTTAAGTACTAGGAGGGATATTACTGGCCATATAAGCAATTGTCAAGAACCTTAAACTCCTGCCAAAGTACATGGCTTCAGCCATCTTCCCTTAGATTTTGCTAACTATATGGTTATATAATATTATTTTCTTAAGTGATTAAGTCATTTTAGGAAAAAAGACAATTTGAGAGAGGAAATACGGCAGCGTGGCCAATATTCATACCAGTTCTACTTCAGCTTTCAGTGTTTTATCTAGTTAAATTTGGTTTCTCTTTTTCTCCAATGTTATTTTTTTGGCTGTGGATTCTACCTTTTTCCAGATGTGTATATGAATTTTTTTCCACTAGGTGTATGCATTTCAACAATAGATTTGCACTCCTTGAAATTATTCAGCATATTCTTTTTGTGTTCTTACAATGTACAAGTCACTGGTACTAAGTGTGGAGGAGGCAGCATGGAGATTAAAAAGACATCATCAAACCTTCACAGAATTCACTGTTTGGTTTATGCAGATTATCTATTTAATGAACTGCATGTTAAAATATATTTTTTTGTTACACCAATGTCAATTAAGGGAATCTTATTTGTTTTATGACTTTCAATATAAAATCAGTGAGCAACGATACATTCCACTTAAGAAAAAGAAAAGATCACTTATTTTCCTTCTACCTGTCTCTTACTTAAATCCTTTTGGAAGAAATCGTTATCACTGTCATCATAAAAGTCAAGATATGATGATGATGATGATGATGATGATGATGATGATGATGATGATGATGATGATGATGATGATGATGATGATGATGATGATGATGATGATGATGATGATGATGATGATGATGATGATGATGATGATGATGATGATGATGATGATGATGATGATGATGATGATGATGATGATGATGATGATGATGATGATGATGATGATGATGATGATGATGATGATGATGATGATGATGATGATGATGATGATGATGATGATGATGATGATGATGATGATGATGATGATGATGATGATGATGATGATGATGATGATGATGATGATGATGATGATGATGATGATGATGATGATGATGATGATGATGATGATGATGATGTAGTGTTAGACAAGTCGATAGGGCTTCCTAAGGTTAGTATCATGCTTTTTCATCATCTGGCCTTAGCCTACCTTTCACTATTTGTCTTTCACTATTCTTCTTCCTATACCCAATGTCCAAGAAGAAGTTACACTAATTCTTGCCTGTGACTCCCCTCCCTTTCCTATCCATGCCTTTACTCATGCTGTACATATTGGCTGAAAGGTAAATAACTGTTTCTGCATCTCCAAATTCTATCTTTCAGGGTCCGTTTTAAATATCACCTTTTTCATGCAGACTGGCCAAGAATATAGTATACATTCTGCGTTAAATGTGCTTATTTACAAGAATATGCTGCTGTCTTTCTGTGGCAAAACAGCTTAAAAATTACAGATTTATACTCCAATTTCATGTGACAGACTGCCACACATGATATTAAAAAATGTTACATTATACTAACATGAGAATCTGTACCACAGATAGAGAATTGAATCATTAATTATTTTCTTAGAAGTAGATGATTATTTCATTGTTCCTCAAAATAATGCTCCATCAGCAAGGGCTTTTTATTTCCCAAGAAAAGTTCAATATTGTAGGTCTAGGAAGTATAGTAGGAATTACCTCAGCAATATTGTTTGGGGCATGATTGGTTACAAATCACTGAAACAGAACTTGCAAATTTGGTATGGTATTTGGCATTTCCCAGAATTCTTGAAGTAAAATGATGTCCCTCTATGTGATCTCTAAGGTGTCTTAGTTCTAGCATTCTAAAATAGTTATTTCTGTGATCATTATAAATAAATGTGACTTTTCTTTTGTTAGGAGCCCCCACGCCCTGTGCACCCAGCACCCTTACCAGAAGCCCCACAACCACAGCGTCTGCCCCCAGAAGCTGCCAGCACATCTCTGCCTCAGAAGCCACACTTGAAGTTAGCACGAGTTCAGAGTCAAAATGGCATTGTACTGTCATGGAGTGTCCTGGAGGTGGATCGAAGCTGTGCCACTGTTGATAGCTACCATCTCTATGCTTACCATGAGGAACCCAGTGCCACTGTGCCCTCACAGTGGAAAAAGATTGGGGAAGTGAAGGCACTTCCCTTGCCCATGGCATGTACTCTCACCCAGTTTGTATCCGGCAGCAAATACTACTTTGCAGTACGAGCCAAGGATATTTATGGACGTTTTGGACCTTTTTGTGATCCTCAGTCAACAGATGTGATCTCTTCTTCCCAGAGCAGTTAAACCTTGGAGCCTTTATCTTTTCCTCTTTCAGAAGTCACACTTTTTGGTCTTGTTTTTAATCTTGTGCATGATACCCAATGTAAAATCCACATTGTACAAAATTTCATGGACAGATGTGTGTATACACTACTTTTGTTTATAACCAGAAGTAAAATAAACTCAGCCCATAAAGCAAGAATCTTATCACGGACAATTCAAGCTTCAGGGTTTTGAAATGTAAATGTGTACCTTGCTTTAGTTTTGACGCTGGGAATATGTGTGGGTGTTTGTGTGTTTTTTCCCTATTTATGTGTTTATTGCAATGGAATCTCCCATTTTCATTCTCAAATGTACCTCTCTTCCAGTATGAAGTAAGTAGATCAAAGGATCTGAGGTATGTAACTGGCATGATTCTGCTTCTAAGGGATTTGTAGGATCATAGTTAAGTGATTTAAATTGAATCTAAGCAAAACTCAAAGAAATAAATAAAAAGTGAAATGGCTAATAGTTTAAAATAGGTTAATTCGAACACAGGAAAGGATCTGTTCATCTTTTCTTTTGTTTCTTCTCCTGGGTTGTTAAGTAGGTTAAAAAAAAAAAAAAAAAAAAAGATCTGCATTGGCCCCTCTCTTTCCTAATCTGGCTTTTACATTTATTTTGCACCTTAAAGATTGACTACAGAAATAAGCATGGCCGTATGTCCACTGTTGTTTACTCTTTGCTTTTAGCCTCTCACCCTTCATTACTTCTTCATCTCCGTGAATGAAGGGTGAAAGGCTAAGAGGGAACAGTAAATTTTTAAACCAGAACAAGTAAAGTGTGTTTTAAAAATTTTTAAACATTTTCTCATCTATGGCATCACTACACTTAACTCCAAAAATTTTACTCCCTATTTTCTTCTAAGAATATAGATATATTTATTTTTGGCCACTAACTCTGGGTACCTATGTGCCCCAAGGGAAAACCATATTGTGTAAGGAAATATTCCTTCCAGCATATTTTAGTATCCATGTGGCACATTGTGTTAGAGATTATGAGAGCAATTCTAGTGCTCTTTCGATCACCCAAGGTATAGTATTCTTTCAAAGGAAGTAAGTAAAGTTCACAAAATACAGTGAGCTGAAATATCAAGGGGAAAGCTCCATTTTCTTTTTATTCTATATCATCCTTTCTGTTTTAACCTTTTAACTTTGTTTTGATGGTGCCAAGTTGAGTCTGGTTTACTCTTTGTCAGCTTTCAATAGAATTTATATATCCTTTGGGGTCATTTTATATAACAATTAAATATAATCTCCTGTGTATCTCCATTCCTCTTTGAAGTTAATAAACCTCAGCTTAAATCCTGGATTTCCGATATAAGTGCCAGCTATGCTGGTGTCAGGTAGGTGCTTTGAGTGTAGTTTAGGATAGGAAGGCTGGGGTGAAGTTTTAGGAATGAGAAAGTGGTTGGGAATATTTTGAAAGGAACTCACAGAGTTTGTGAAGTAACTTTTCAAGTCATCTTTTTGAATAATAGTTGAGTTCATATTCCTACCTTCTCAAAATAAATTAGCCATTTATTTTTTTCTGGAATTACAAGATGGAGCTATCCTTTTCATTAAGGCTGTTTTTTTTTTTTTTTTTTTTTTTTTTTTTTTTTTTTTCCCGACTTTGATATCTTATAGTAGGAAGTATTCTAATTGTAAAGAAATTCTCTTGAGAGACTTTTCACTGGTCAGTGTACTGTCATTTTAGGTGTGAGGTTTGATTGATGATGAAAAAAGCCTACAGACTGCCAAAATGTAAATGCTTCAAACCTACCTTTCACTCTCAGAAAATGAAACCACAGTAAGAATTAGTGTTTTCCATGAATCAGATTTGCCAGTCAGCCATGTAGATGTTTCTTATTCTGGGACTAATGATGATGATAAAGAAATTGCTAATTGACAATGAAAATTCTGAAAGGAAGAAACTGATGATCTTCTAGATGTAAATGAACACCTATCTATATCTGCGTGCATTCCTGTCTACAAAATAGAAAGCCCATATTCAAAATTGTTCTTTAATGGCCAGTTTTATGATCACATGGTAATAATTTGCTCACCTAGCCTGCAAAGGTTCCCTTGATGACTGTTTTTATTTATATTCACTAATCTTTTTTTAAAAAAAGGTTTCATAGCATTATATAATTAGGTGAAAAAAGCCCAGTAGAATGAAAATATTTTATTATTTTAGCCTATACTGTGTCTTTTCTGTCAAAGGAAAAAAAGTTAATTCTCAAATAGTATCCCTAAAAATAGATTTACTACAGTAAAATAATTACTAAAAACTTTTTTTTCCCAGATGGTGGAAGGAAGGTACAAAGAGAGATTGTAATTATTTAAAGTATATTTATTATAAGATGGTTTCCTCAGATTAGCCTGCCAGGGGATTTTTGGGCAACAAGCTATATTGGATTTACTGAAAGGTGCTAAGCTTTTATTTGGTGCAGGTTTTAATGTTGATGAGTACTGACTTTTTTGTTTGGTTTGTTTCCTTTGGTAGAAAATGGAGGACTTGACCTAAAATAGCTACTAATAACAGACTAGAAAGTAGCAATTCACACTCCATGGTTACTTTTTTTCATTTCATGGTATCTTTTCACAAAGTATTGCAAATAAGCTTGATTATCCCATTTTGGGAATGCATGTTTGCTGCATTTTTAGCCTGACAGTACTTGTGTAGGTATTGCCTTATTGGAAATCCTGGAAACTTCTGATAGTTCAACCTGAAATATAGGATGTTTATATGGCATTTGAAGGTAACAGTGATGTTTGTAACTCACTACTTTGCACTGTCAGAGTAATTTTCACCCTGTTATAAGTGTGAGTAAGCCTCTTTTTAAGATTACGTTCTGGTAGTAAATTTGTAAATTGTATACAAAGACAACAGCTGTTGTTAACAATTAACATTACGAGGTAACTATATCCCTCTAGTTCTGTGGACTCACTTTTAAAAATATGTAGAATACCGTGTACTGTTTAACACAGTATATAAGTTTATGAGAGAAGTGGAGAGCTTTCTTCCCTGAAAACTGAATATTTATTAGGATACCATTTGCCTCACAGAGAGATGTTCCCCACTTCCCTACCCAATTGCCAGATAATAAATACCTTTAAAAAAGAAAATGGCCTAAAGCAAGAAGCTTAGAATCTTGCTTACGTGCATGTCTGCAGAACTCCTTAGGCAGGCTGCACCATACAGTTCTTTTACTGCATTGGAGAAGTGTTAACTGAGGTTTTTTGTTGTTTGTTCTTTTGCTTTAAATATTTTCCAAATTATCATTTATTCAGCACGGTTAGTGTTAATACTGCACGATATGCATTTATCTTGTTCCGTGAGTTTTCCAGTACTGTACAAGATCAACAAAATGATGCCTGTGGTATCCTCATCTCTCACTTTTGTACACTGTGATCTTAGCACAGTGAGGTACTGCAAAGACCTTCCAAGTGTTCTCCTCACTTTCCTTCTTGGGCCATTTCAGTATCCTCAGTATCTTTTTTGATGTTATTTTAACTTTATCACTGACCTGTGATTGGCCTGTTTTATTCTAATTTCAAGAAAAACCATATCCCAGTATTGGATTATTGCAAATAGCTCTGTCTAAAACCCATGTGTGATTCTGCCTTCCTTTTTACTGGAGAATTGCCTTTTTAAAAAGTTTTTTTGGGACACAGACACAAAAAATCAGCAATTCTCATGAGGTGTTTGTTAGTGTGGCACTAATTCCTGAAATTTGTGTATCCCTTTGAGCCAGCCAGCGGGGAGGTATAGGATAGTGTATACAAATACATGTTTTGTCTTATCTTCAGATAATTGTTATCATTTTACAAATAAGTGTTTCTTTTCTTTTATGTCTTCCTTTTGTTTGTGTGTGTTAGAGTCTACTAAGTACCCATCCTTTATATTTAAATGCTGTCCTTTTTTTTTGTAAATAGGGTAATTGGGCAATCAAACACATTTTGGGGATCCTGGCTTTAGTATTTTATCAGCCATTTCAAAATTAAGTATAAAAATAAATCCTTTGTAGGAAGCTTGCATCCTGATTTTTCTTTATCATGGTTGAAAATGTAAATAATAAGACAATGTAAGACCTTCCTAATGTCTAATATAAAATGGGCCATAGCAAGCTGCCCTATTTTTATTAGGTTTTGAAGGTTTTTGTGGGTTTTTTTTTTCCTTCTTTTTTAAATGTATAATAGAGTGGTGTCTATATTAAGTGTTAACTGTAGTGGGATTTTGTCCAGCAAGCCTGAAATTTATACTTTGAAATAAAACTACTGGGTTTTTAACATTCTGCGTACTCTGATTCATTCTGATTATTCTCAGCCCTTGTGTTTTTCTCTTTTGAAAATCTCCCACCTTCTTTAGAATCACCCATTATATACTGTATAGTATGGCTGATTTAACCTACTTGTCAATTCCATGGCACTCAAACCACATACAGTCCTCCAGCTTTCAAAGAAAAGGTGCTATGCAGAATTGCTGCCAGATGTGATAGGCTGCTTGTAACTAATGGGAGACAACCTTAAGGTTTCCTGTATGGTGGTATTTCAAAAAGTTCATGGAAAAATGGAATTGAAAAACAATACAAATCTTTCCATGAGCTTTTTGAAGTACCCTCGTGTATTGTGTGCCTACCGTGCACCACAAACAGATTCAACTGATGACTTTCTGAGACGTTCCTTGGAAAATTCAGCTCCGCTATTCCCTAGGGCTTGTCCTTGTGCATATCCAGCCAGAGGAAGGAAAAGAGTATGGGAGGAATGTAAGTTCTTATAAGCCACACGTGGAAGTGGCATTCAGCTCATCTCAGGTTCCACTGGCTAGGACTCCGATGGTGCAACCTACCTAAGGGACCCTGGGAGATGGGATCTAAATCGGCGGGATTAAAAGGAGAATACGGACTTTGGTGAATGAGGAAGCAGTTTCTGCCATGCCCTCTTTCGTAGTTTATATGCTGAGGCCTAGGATTGTTATTTATTATGTAGAATGTTTCTTCCACAGTGCTCTACCCTGTAGTGAATGTGCTGTTAAAAACAAAATAAGAAGAAAATGAAAGTGACAAATAATATGTTTTATTACGAGTAATTCTGATGGGAAAAACATAGCCAAAACAGAGCCTTTGGTATCTTATTTGGAGCCTTCTATTTCCTTCTTTTCCCCCATCTCCCTCCTTCATTTTATGTCATTTTATGTCAAGTTTCAGAACTGGTTTCATGGTAACAAAATCGAAGTTGTAGACCTCGGGCATGCCCTGATGGAGCGTTTTGTTGAAGCGGTTCCAGCTGAAAACAGGGAGGCCACCTTGTACTGTGGGACCACTAATGGCATAGGCCGTGTACTGAGATGCTAGGTAGATATCTGCCACCTGGAACGAGAGAGAGGAGGAGGACATTTTAGAAAACCAGAAAACATTTAGAAAAAAAATTTGACTAAATCCATGGCCTTTCCCCCTCTTCACTTTCCAAAGTCACAATATTAGTCTCTTTTAAAATGAAATTTTCTTGCAAGCTTCCACATATTTTTACGATATACTCTTTTCTATCCATCTGGCATTTAAATGTGAATTGACTGATAGAAGTGTATTAAATTAACAATGTAGCCAAAAGTAACATCTGTAGTCAGATTACTCATTCAGAATTCTAGCTCCAAAACTTTTCAAAAAAAATCACTTAACCCCTCTATGACTCAGTTTTCTCATTTGTAAAGTGGGCTAAAAACCTTACTTTATAGAATTTTCATGAGGATTAATAAGAGCAATGCTTAGAGCAGTGCCTAAAATACATTAAATCCTAAAAAAAAAGTTAATCAGGCTAGTAAAATGTTTTATTTATTTACTTATTTATTTTTAGGTGCAAACCAGAAAGACTGTTATGTATTTATTTTGGGGGGGGCACAAGATAAGTCTTAATACATTTAGTAGAGTGAGATCATAGAAAATATGTTCTCTGACCACAGTAACATGAGGAAATTTAGAAAATTCACAAATGTGTGGAAATTAAACAACACTCTCCTAAATAAATAATGGGTAAAAAGAAAAATCACAGGGAATTAGAGAGTACTTTGAGATAAAAATAAAAGCACAACATGTCAAAACCTATAGGATGCAGGGCTCATGCAATGCTTAGAGGAAAATTTATACTTATAAACATTAAAAATAAGAAAAACCTCAAATCAGTAATGTAAACTTCTACCTTAAGAAAATAATGGGGTAGCCTGTGGCTCACTCGGGAGAGTGTGGTGCTGATAACACTAAGGCCATGGGTTCGGATCCCTATATAGGGATGGCTGGTTAGCTCATTTGGGAGAGTGTGGTGCTGACAACACCAGGTCAAGGGTTAAGATCCCCTTACTGGTCATCTGTTTTTTTTTTTTTTTTAAAGAGAGAAAGAAGAGCAAACTAAACCAAAAGCAAATATAAGTGGGAAATAACAAAGATTACAACAGAAATATATAAAATAGAGAATTAAAAAACAATAAAATCAATAGAACCAAAAGTTTATTCTTTAAAAAGATAAACACAATTTGCAAACCTTTTATCTAGACTGACCAAGAAAAAAGAGAGAAGACCTAAATTACTAAAATCAGAAATAAATCAGGGATATTATTCATTGTCGTGGTTTTTTGTGGTGGTAAGATTTAGTTTCTTTCCCTTTCTCATTTGCATTTTTGTTCTGCCAGTGGGTTTTGTTCTTTCTTGTGTATTCATTGTAGTGATTATCGTTTTTCGGATTCCAATGCAGGACTTCCTTGAGGATTTCTTGTAGGGCTGGTCGTGTGGTGGTGAACTCCCACAGTTTTTGTCTGGAAAATACACTATTTTCCCCTCATTTCTGAAGGATGGCCTTGATGCGTATAGGATTCTTAGCTGGCAGTTATTTTCTTTTAGTATTTTGAATATATCATCCCATTTTCTTCTGGCCTGTAGAGTTTCTGTTCAGAAGTCTGCTATTAGTCTGCTAGGGCCTCCCTTATAGATGATGTGATGCTTTTCTCTTGCTTCTCTTAAGATTCTCTCTGTGTCTTTGAGGTTTGCCAGTTTGACTACAATGTGTCTTGGAGAGTTTCTTTTTGGGTTGAATCTGGGGATCTTAGAGCCTCTGGCATCTGAAGGTCAATGTTTCTCCCTATACCTGGTAAGGTTTTGGTTGTTATTTCATTGAATAGGTTTTCCATGCCTTTTTCTTTCTCCTCCCCTTCTGGAATACCTTGTGTGCTTTCATTCAATGCTTGTGTGCCTAAGGTTGTCTGCTAGGTTTCTTAGAATTTCTTCATTTTTTAAAATTCTTTTTTTCCTTTTTTTGTCCACCTGGGTTATTCCAAAAAGACTATTTTTAAGATCAGAAATTATTTCTCCTGCTTGTTTTTTTTTTCCTTTTTTTTGTCTTTTTTTTTTCGTGTCCGGCAACGGATCGCAACCCTCAGTGTCGCGCCCTCACCGGACCAGGACCGGCAACGGGATCACAACCCTTGGTGTTGCGTCCGCACCTCGCCCAGCCAGTGAGTGGGAACCGGTCTGTATGTGGGATCTGAACCCTTGGCGGGAGCGCCGCCGCACTCCCAAGCGGCGCACTGTAGCAGTGCGCCACCAGGCGGGCCCTCTGCTGCTTGTTTTAGCCTGCTGCTTAAGCTGTCTGTTGTGTTTTTTATTTCATTGAGTGAATCATTCAGCTCCATGAGATCTACTACATTTTTTTTTAAGGTATTAATCTCTTCGTAAATTTCCTTCTTCACCTCCTGGATTTTTTTTTTTTTTTTCTCATTTCATTATGTTGTCTAAGTGAGTCTTCTTGTATCTCAGTAAGTTTTCTTAAGATTGTTGCTTGGAATTCCTTTTCAGTCATTTCAAGAGTTTCCTGCCCTATAGGGTCTGATATTTGAGAATTACTGTATTCTTTCAGTGGTGTCATATTTTCTTGGTTTTTCATATTTCTAGTATCTACATTGACATCTGGTCATTTGGTAGAACAGTTGCTTCTTCTATTACTCTGAAGTGGGCTTTGAGGAAAAAGACCTCCTCTTCTTTTTCTGGTCTCCACTGGTGACTCTCCTTGCGTCAATGCAGTTGAGTGTCTGGTGGGCCACCTGAATGGTGGCTGTGGCTACTGCTGTGGTGTCAAGCAACTTTTGCAGCGGCCATGGCTGTGGTGGTGGCTATGATGGGTCACCCATGCAGAAGTGGTGTTTTTGGTGTGCTCTCTACCTGCTTCCGGGCAGGGGCTGCTGCCCTCAGCTGCTTGCCTAGGACCCCAGGCATGCTCTCTTGGCCTGCTTCTGGGCAGAGGGCAGTAATAAGACTTTTAAAGTAGAAGGAATTCACTGTCAAAAAATGAGAGCCATGGTTCTCAAAAACACCTAACTGTGGGGTAGCAGCAGATCTTGGAGGAGAAAGAACATCTCATAACTTATGATTTTCCCTGTATTCAAAATGGCTCTAAAGAGAGAGATGATACGTTTAAAGTATATCCTTCAACAGAAATTTTTTGGTGAAAAAATGGCAGGTCCCTGTCTCCAGAAGTGAAATTTGGCAAACAGAAGCTTGGCTTGGGTTCTCTCAGGCAAGACAGCAGAGATGATTGATTTTCTTTGTATATTCTGGGATGGATATTAGACATTTCACACACTTTACTGAATGTTTGCTAATACTATTAAAAAAATACAAAAACATTTATTGGGGCTTCATGGGTGCCAAGTTCTCTACATTTCACTTTATTTTTACTTTTTTTACATCACGCAACATATTGAGAGTCAAGGCTAAAGCTTTACCATCATCCCATAGCTAAAAAGTGGGTTGACCTGGAACTCAGACTCCTTTAAAGCATCTCCTGTTTAGGTATTAGGCTGAAAGAAAATAATGTGTAGGTGGGGTTGACATTAATATTATTAATTTATATAATTAATAGAGCCAAAGTTAGAACCATTAACTCCACTCCTTACGCTTTTCTTCCCAAATTCAGGAGAAGCAATGGCAAATGAAAAGACACATGCCCAAACCGAAAGTGCAAAAAGATGTGGATCATTTCCACCAACCGCATGGCTAACTGGACATCTCAAATCCTGTGATTTTCAGGTAAATTTTTAGCAACCAGCTCTCTGAGGAAAAAAGACCCTGATTTATAGTGTTTGCTTATTTCCGTTGGTGTAAATACTTCTGCTATAGCTGAGTTCAAGCTATCAACATGATGTCAACTGACAAACAATTGGTTCTCGCACAACTATATGAGCTGGCTTCATTCAGCACACCATTGCAAACCTATTTATTACCCATATTGTGAGACACATTACAGCACTTAATTCTAACATGGTGAAAAACCTTTAGTGCTTTGGGCATCTCATTCAATACTTGTTCTTTCAGCTAAATTCCATTCATGTTTAATATGAAGTCACACTGCTCTCAGTAGTTCTTGGGACTTTGGGCCAGTCTGGCAAAACTTCAGACAACAATATTATCATCACTGTCATCATGATTATGCAGATTTACGAAAATCTCACGAAGTGCTATTCTAAATATTTTATAGATAGTAGAGGTTTATCCTTCACAGCACCCCATGAGGTGAGTACTGTTATTTCCATTTTACAAGTGAGGAAATAGTAACATTACAAAATTATGTGATTTACTATTCGGTGGCAGAGCAGGCACTTGAAGTTAGGCAATGGGACCTACCACCTGAATCTCTGAAAAGTTGATTCCTGAATTGAGTTTGTATTTAGAGATATTACTGCGCTGTATGCCACAAAAATCTCTGCAGCTTTGCCTTTGAAGAGGCCTTTGTGCTGGTGGAAATTAAATTCAAAAGCATGTTACCTTTGTGTCATAGCAACCTCCGGGACTTGGGTTAAGTGAGTTCAGGTCCTCACGGCAGCAGATGGTATTGCAGGGATCACCCTTACTGTAAGGATCCTTCTTATAATCTAGAAAACAGAGAGCGATTGGGAAAGAGTGAGTATTGGCCATACTGAGATACGCTTATTCACAGTAAGATTTGGGGACCCATTAAAGCCTAGATAATCAGACAGAATGCCCCCTACAGGACTCATTAGCCTTACTCCCAGATCTAGATGTTTCCCTTGGCTTGTGTGCAGAAGGAGCAACTGCAAATCCTCTGCCTCAGGCCCAGCTTGCTCTTAGGGCCTTACACAGTGAAGAGTGGATGGAAGAGAGATAACAGAAGGTAAATGGGGATCAATTTTTTCCAACAGAAGAAAAACAAATTTGCCTTTGATACTGTTCATCAAAACTAAAGTATGAATAATTTTTGTTTTATTAGATGCTTTTGTCCTTAGAAGGAAATCTGGGTTGGGGGGCGGGAAGTACCCTGCATGGGTTATTTCTTCTGTGTTTTATATATAATTTTTTTCAATTAAAAAAATCTGTAGAATCTTCTCTGCCATTTTATAATAAAGGCCAAAACTATTTGAGTATAAAATATGTATAGTATTAATTGAATACAAAATACTTAATGTGAATAACTTCTTACATTTCCTTCTAGTACTGAGATGATAAACTTACATGGATTCTTTATCCATGGGGAAGAAAAGGAGTTTTGAAGAATGATTCTGGAGAAATGTGCTACGTACTGTTGTATCGCATGATATATTTCATGGATGCCATATCCGTCACTTTCCCTTGGTCACGTCGGAAGATTTTGGCCCGTGGAGCTAAATCGTAAGAGTAATCCAAACCCAGCTTCTGGACTAACAGCGGATAACCACTCCAGTTGTAGATTTTTTTATGGAAAGGGATGTTGTAGGAGGGCCAATACCCTGATTTGAAATGGAAGGAAAAGAAGGGAGGGATTGAGTGGAGGGGGCATGGCGGGGGGGGGGGGGGGGGG